GGCTCACATGCAAGGTACGTGACACAAGGTGTTGCTCTCAGAATACAATTGTCAGTGGCTGCAATGCTGCAGGAGGAGATTTCTCATCTGCAGTTAAATAAAGAATGTAACGGATATAAGGTATTTAGCTTGAGATCTATTGGACCATTCCCCCCTGGTCCTTTCAACAGGACTAAAAAGGGGGCCACCAGAGGAGAAAATGAATAGTGAATCCTTTTTGGCTAAACTTAATTACATCTAAGGATCTCATGACAAATAGTTTGAAGGAGTTTCTAGAATATAATAGAGCCTCAGCATCTCAGGAGATGATATGGGACTCTCTTAAGGCATAACTCAGCAAATTACTAGGATAAAAAGATTGGGAGAGGACAATTATGAAAGAGATAGCCAAGGTAGAAAAAACATATATATGTAGCACCCTCCTAGTTAGGTGTTAAGATGTGTATAGTTAGGTTAAGCATTGCTGTGTTTCTCTGCTCACCAGAGAGGCTGTCAGGTAAATACAGTGTGGTATTCATCTTAACAGAGTGCTGTGATCAATTAGTTACAGTAGGTCTGCTCATGCTGCTCTGGTGCTCTTGGAGTTGGTTTGAGTTCTACCTGCCTTCAGGAACTATGAGAGCCTTCCAGAACATGGGAAGGGGCTAGGCAAATGAACAACATGAATATGGACACAACCATGGCCAATTGCAAGGGAAGGCAGTCCCATTGCATGATGGGAGTGGTATTTATGTTCTAGGAGCACATGGGTTCCCTGGAGTGGTTTGCACCAGCCAGGCTGGAGGCAGGCTGCTTCGCCTGGCAACTGCTACCATGTGGCCTCAGGTGGGTCGGCCTGAGGGCGTGAAGTTAGAGAGAGTGACGCTGGTTCTTCAGTAAGGTGACTTAGGGGAGCTGTCCACCAAAGCTGACTGGTATCACTGGAGGGTTTCGCCTGGAAGGTTGGAAGGAGGCATTAATTCTGTCTGTGAGCCTTGTGACTACCGACATTGAGGAATTTGGGGACGCTTGTTACCTCCTCTGGTGTTTGAGTGTGAGTCTGGAAAAAGGGAACACTGGCTAGTGTTCCGAAGAGTATTGTCCAAGTGCTACTAATGCAAAGGACTTTACCTAGCTACGTTACCTTTGGGCTGTCACAGTCTGTCGTAACTGGCTTATCAGTTGAGGAGCTCAGCCCTGTAACTACTGCTACTGCTAAAGGGACTAAATCGTTTGCTGCTATGTGTGACAAAGGGAAATCTGCTATCTATTGTAAGTCAAGGCTTCTACAGTGCTCAACTAAGAGATCAGCTAGATGTCCTCAGTGCAGGGGCGAACTGACCATTTGGAAACTCGGGCACTGCCCGTGGACCCGGGGTCAGTAGGGTGCCCCATGAGATGCTCTTGGTACCTTTTTCATAGGCTTTTTTGAGTTTCGCCAAGGACACAGGGGCCCCATGATTCCCTATTGCCCGGGGGCCCCATGAGTTGTCAGTCCGCCCCTGCCTCAGTGTGAATAGTTCTGATTTGGAGTATCCTACTACAATTCCCCATAACTATCCCCAGTTCTACAATAAACTCCATAAGCAAAACAACCCCTAGACTGGTCATTAAAGACAACTAGCTGAAGTGTGTGTGTTTGTGTCCTTGTGTATTTGGATGAAGAAGTACAAAGGGGGAACCGGGACATCATACTGATTTTACAAGCGGCTCCTGCGGGGGTAGCAGTACATATAGAAGATCCATCTCCAGATAATCTCTCTAAGTGGATAGAGATGCAACAAATGTATTGTATGGTATCCATGAAAAAGGCTGAAAATGGGCGGACTGACAATTTGGAAACCCGGGCACTGCCCAAGGGCCCGGGGTCAGTAGGGGGCCCCATGAGATGCCCTGGTACCTTTTTCATAGGCTTTTTTGAGTTTGGGCAAGGACACAGGGCCCCATGATCCCCTATTTCCCGGGGGCCCCATGAGTTGTCAGTCCACCCCTGGCTGAAAATAAAAGGTTCTTTATGAAACAGCGGTTCTAAGATAAGGGAGAAGGTACTGGTCATATGCTGGCTCTTTTGGCAAAGGCTCACACTGCTTTTGCTAGTATATCATCTATTGAGACTGGTTCTGGAAGAGTCACTACATGTCAATCTGAGATATTGAATACTTTTAAGAGCTATATAGCTCTAGAACAGGGGAGGTAGAGGAGGAGGAAATGGGGGAATTCTTGCAGGACCTAGAAAATTCCATCTTTAACAGATGGTGATAGGTATATGCTGGAAGCTACCATTACTATTGAGGAGCCAATGTGCAGTGTCAGAGCCCTCTTGTCATAATGCGCCAGGGCCAGATGGGCTCATAACTGAAATTTACTGTATAACCAGTATGGAGGAGTACTACTTTCAGAGCTCTTGCAAGCTCTGAATTGGGCTTTAGAAAAGGGAGAACTGCCGCTGTCTTTGACTGAAGCTACAATCATTCTGATACATAAATAGGGAAAAAACTCACTTTAGCCCTCATCGTACAGGCTGATCCCTCTGCTCTGTACAGACGTCAAGTTACTAGCGAGGGTATTGGCCTCTAAACTGAGTGGGGTTATGCAAAAGTTGGTTCATCCAGACCGATCCAGGTTTATTCCTGGAAGGTCGACAACCCTACATATTAGATGAGTGTTCCTAAATATACAATCCCAACGGATGAGAAAGGGTTAAAGGGTATTCTCTCCCTAGACCCTGCCAAGGTATTTGACAGTGTTGAATGGCATTATTTGTGGCAAGCTTTACTGGCATTTAAATTTGGTCCCATATTTATGAACTGGGTAAAGTAGCTCTATACAGCCCCTAAGGCGAGGATAAAGATTAATGAGGAGCTATCAGATTAATTTCTGCTGACTGAGAGACGAGGCAGGGGTGCCCTTTGTTGCCCCTCCTCTTCACTCTGGCCATGAAACCCTTAGATATAGCTATAAGGAATAAAAGTGTTTTTCAGCAAGGGGTATATGAGGAAAAAATAGCGTTATGTGTAGATGATGTCCTCCTGTTTTGGGGGGGATACAGGCCAATGGTTGATCACATTAATAGACATGATAAAGAAATGTGGTTCTTTTTCCAGTTTATCTATTAATTGGGAGAAATCCACCTTACTGCCGATTGAGCCTTTAGAAGAGGAACGGCCAGATAATGCTAGGCATCCACAGGTAGTGGATGAGTAATCCTAAATTATATATTTTGAACAAACTAACACCTTTATTAATTGGTTTTAGAGAAAGATGTAAGACGTAGCGACACCTTCCTCTATCAGTGGTGAGCTGTTTGTAGCCTAAATAAATGGTATGGACGCCCAAACTTTTGTATATTTTACATAACTGACCAGTAAGGATTACTAGATGGTGGTTTAGAAAAATAGATGTCTTGTTTAGGTATATATTGTGGAGGGGGGGAAGGCCAGGATGCGTCTTCATGCATTGCAGCTGTCGAAGGACAAGGGTGGTTTGGCTGTACCACACCAGAGGAGTTATTTCTTGGCAGCACAATCACAGCATTCACAGGGGTGGGCATTGGAGGGAGACACCACTTGCTATGATGCCCGCGCATTGCTTGCCTGTACCCCACACAATAAATTGGTTGAGGCATTAGAAGCAGGGTCAAAAAGGACGAGGCCATAGTTTCCCATGGTACAATTGATATTGAAATTGTGGAGGACTGAGCGTTCCTTGCTCGGTTATAGAGAGTTTACAGATTATGCTCCCATATGGGATAATGAGAACTTCTCCGAACTTGGAAAGCTAGAGAGTTTCAATAATTGGAAGCAGAAGGGAACTGTGCACCTTGCACAAGTACACTTTGTTGGTGGATTGAAAACTATTCAGGAACTGAGATAAGAATTTGGACTGTCTAATAAGTGCTTTTATCAATATCTACAGATCGGGCACGCATTGACAATCCAGTTTAAAACAGTAAGTTTGGAATGGAGTAACTTTAGTGGGGTCTATCTCTACTAAAGGGTAAATATCAAAATTGCATAGTAGTATACATCTGAAAGCATTGAAAAAGAAATTAGATTTACCATGTAGAGCAAGGTGGGCAGAGGATGTGGGAGAAATGACTGATGAGCAATGGAATCATATAATAAAATTAGTGTATTTAATATCATTGTCCCCATCACAGAAATTGACAGATTTATATAATTCATAGAGCATATTATACTCCTCAGAAATTGTTCTTATTTGGGAGATGCATCATGTCCCAGGTGTGGGGACGCATCTGGAAGTCTCATCATATGCTTTGGAGATGCCCTAAACTACACAGGTATTGGGAGGAAGTGATAGAAACAATAGGTGTGGTGTTTGGTGTTCCCCTCTTGCTGGATCCTAAACTATGTGTGTTGGGATATATATAGAAGCAGGTAGTTCCTTTTTCTGTACAGATAGCGGTTCCGCAGTGCCTCTATCAGGCCAGAAAACAGATTGCTCAGAAACGGATAGTTGCCTTGCCACCCTCTCATACAGAATGGCTAAGATTGGTAAACAACACATTAATAAAAAAGGCTCGCTTATGCAAGAAGAGGATGTGTAAGTTCGAGAAAGTGTGGAAGTGATGGTTGAGTCCCCAAGGCTGGTACCCTGAAATAGGAATAATTGATAAGGTGTTTTTTTTTCAGTTTGCTGTTTTGGGTCATGCTGGTGATGGTTAGGAAATCAGTGTTTTGAATAGTAGTATTTTGTTATTTAGACCTTATGGGTGGGAAAGGGGAGGGAGGAGGGTAAGGGGAAAGGGGTAATTTAAAAAAGTATGTATTGATGGAAATTGTAATATATTTGGAAAATAAAGTTTGTTTATTAAAAAATAAATTTGATTTAAAAAAAAAAAAAAGAATGTACCTCTGCGGTGGTCAGTGTTCGGATCACTCCTATGCTTTGGTATATATTTTTTTCACTTTTTTGGCACAGATTTCAGTAAAAAAAAAAAAAGTTGTTGTTTTATTGAATTAACCTCCCTAGCGGTATTCCCGAGTGTAGCTCGGGGTAAAATGTCAGTACCAAAAGTGGTAACCCCGAGCTACACTCGGGCTTACTATGCGGCGCTGCATAGGGATTCCCTGCAGAGCTTACCTTGTCCTTCGCTCCCACGATGTGTCCCCTGCAGCGTCCCCGGCCATCTCCTCCGGCCGATGCCGGCATCCGGCTTCTGTGTTCCGGTCCCTGTGACGGCGGGACGTACAGGCGCCGCCGCGGGAAATTTGAAAATTTTAAAAAATGTCATTTTTTTCAAAACAAATTTTACGTAGTAAAACATTGCTGTTTCAACCCATTTCACATACATTTTGTCCCTAGTGCTTTGTCCTGTGCCCTGCCTGCAATTTGTCTGTTCTTTCTGCCCGAAAACTGAGAAATGTCCACGGCGTCCAAAAAGTGTCCCTTTAGGTCAAAAGCGGGTTTAGACCAGCTAGAGAACAGCGATAGTAAATCAGAACCACTTGCAGAATTGAGGGATAATGATTTGTGGGGAAATTTGTCATCAGACACTGAAAACGATTTTGCGACTTTGCTCAGCAATGTGCAAACTTGGCGCTCTATTTCAAATTTCAGTGTTTTTGGTTTGATTATATTATTGGATTAAATTTATTATTATTATATTATTATTTTTTATGATTATTTATTAGCTTATAATTTATGATTTCGTGTTTCAAATTTTATCATACCCGGGATGTTTACTAGACTCTTGTTCGGACAGATTTCAGTGAGTTATTCCTAAAAATTACAGCCTACAATAAAAAAACTACATATTTCCATGCAAAATAATGGTACCCGCTTTCAGCACCAAAAATCTGAAATAATCATACCGCTAGGGAGGTTAATTTCATGTCATTACTGTGTGTTGTTAACCGTTGTTGTTTGCTTTGCAGGAACACCAATCAGCTGTGGTACTGATCTGTTTATTCTTACAGCAGCAGGGTGTTTCTCTCAGAATACAAACATCAGTGCCTGCAGCGCTGCAGGAGGAGATTTTTCATCCCTATTAAAAAAAAAGTGTATGCCCAAGAATGCGGGGCCTGCGGTGGTCATTGGGCAGATAGCTCCTATGCTTCAGCATACATTCTTTTCAATTTTTTTGGTAGAGATTTCTTCATCCCTATCGGTTGATGTGAATGGAGGAATCTGTTGGGTTCTTTTTTCTTTTTTCTATATGCCCAAGCATTCAAAGCGTGGGGTGGTCATGTGGTCGGTAGCTCCTCTTCTTTGGCATATACTTTTTTCATTTTTTTTCTGGCCAAGATTTTGTTCTTCCACATCGACTGATGTGAATGCAGGAATCTTTTCTCTTTTTTTCATCACTTTTCCACTAGTCTTTGGAAAATGACAAAAAATATATTTTTTTTTTACACAAAGTTTTTAATGAGATATTTCTCACACAGTTTTTTTTTTTTACACAAAGCACATGTGTGTGACTTTTTGAGATCATAGCCACATACAGCAGGGCCAAAAACCAATGGCCACCTTCCAGCTTTCAAAGGGCGTAATTTCCTCATTTCACTTCCTGACTGCCTATCACAGTTTCATAGGCCCTAACATGCCAGGATAGCACTCCCCCCCCTTTTCAGAAAGTACACCCCCCAACTATTTGCTGAGAGGCATGTTGAGTCCAGACGTTTTTGGAAAATTTACAAAAACATTTTTTTTACACAAACTTGTCATTTTAATGAGATTTTTTTCTCACACATACCATAGATATATTTGGAATACACCCCAAACCACATTCTTCTACTTCTCCTGAGTATGGCAATACCACAGGTGTGGGATTTTTTTTATACACCAAAGACACATGTAGTGTTTAAAGCAGCAGTCTCTAAAACTACCCTTAAATCCCACCAACATTCCATGAATTGCAGATAAATTCAGGCCTTGGTGGAGGAATTAGTGTCTTTGCAATGATTTGTATCTACCGGTGTGATATCCAACAATGCCAAGTGTTAGTGGGACTTGAGAAAAAGGTATGGGCAACAATGAAAAAATTAGAAATATTAAAAGAATAACTCTACTTTTTTATTTCTCTTTTTCGTACCACTAGTTTTTAACTTTTGTATATGTTTTTATTGTTAATGTTTTAGAGCCTCATTATGAAAGCTCCAATTTAAAAAGAAAGCCTTTATTTCATGTTTGTTAATAACTATTGCATTGCTTTGTACCAGAATGATTAGCGCATCTTTTTACATGGGATAAATTACAGAATAATTTTTATCTACAGCAATTCTATTTTTAAACTAACACTGATTGTTTTAGTTTTGTAATTTTGCTATGATTTGTCCTATAGGATTGCATTTAAACAAAGTTTTTTTAAAAAGACAATATCACCAAAAAATAATATAGTATGTGTTACTGTGTTATCTGAAGTAATTACAAGCTGTGGTCAAAACAATTTTTGGAATGGTTATGCTATGGACTGACTTTCCTCTTTCCGCTCTTGTATCCCCTCTAATGAACATTTACAGAATTAAATGATGTTGCAGAAACAAACCCATGATGGATAGTGTGTCCAAAACAGGGACCATTGCAAATCCTAGCCTTCCTTTAATTAAATATAGTTTAGGGTCCATGAGTGGGTGAGTCACTGTCTATATAATTTTGCACTAGAAATGTATGCAAAGGGAATTCACTGAGATGAGCATTTATATGTACATCCTGTGGATCCTAATTGTAACCAGAAATAATTTGCACTTGGATTGGTGTGTGATAAAATGATTTTTCTATAAGAAGATTATATCAAGCACTATATGACTGTACTATTATTTGTTGTTGATATAACCGGTAGTGAATGTTTATGATAATAACCATTACACTTTGGTATTGTATATTTTTTGATTGCATCATCACTGCTGGTGGTACAGTATAGTGGTGGCAAGTTAGTGGTCTGCTGGAGCAAATTGAAACATTCTTTATTGGTCTGTTTGCCTTCCTCTGGATTAACTGTGTGGATATAGGGACTGTGTATATGGAGGATTTTTTTATTTTTTTATATTTTCTAATAATTGAACTAGATGGACTAGTGACTTTTTTCAACCTAACTATGTTAACTATTTTATTATTACTGCACTTTTGATGTTGAATGTTTTTGGTAATACAGTATGTTTATGCTGTGGGTTGGGGAGTAGTAAGTGTAAGTAAAGTTTTTTTTTGTTTATCAATTACTAAATTATAGAGTGGGTTAGGTTTATTTTATAGTGCCGCACATTTTCATATTTGAACATGCTCCCCCAATACCTGGTAGTACCAGGTATGGCAGAGCATGTGAGTTGTCCATCACTGGGCTTTGGCATTGAACATAGCTCCCCAAACTGTCCCTCATAATTTGAAGGGACTGTCCCCACATTTGAGAGCAAAATCCCTCTGTCCCTACTGCAGCCTCAGTTGTCCCTCTCTTTTTTGGTCCTGATGTGTATACCTCTATACAAAATGTATTTATTCAGGTACTTATATAGCGCCGTCAATGTACACACAGCGCTTTACATATAGTATTGAGTACATTCACATCAGTCCTCTAACCCTAAAAGGGCGTACAATCTAAGGTCCCTAACTCCCATCATACATACATATACTAGAGCCAATTGTAGACAGGAGCCAATTAACCTACCGGCATGTCTTCTGGAGTGTCGGAGGAAACCAGAGTAACCCGGAGGAAACCCACGCAGGCAAACAGGGAGAACATGCAAACACCAGGCAGGTGGTGTGTCATGGTTGGGATTCGAACCAATGACCCGATTTACTGCCAGGCAGAAGTGCTAACCATTTAGCCACTGTGCTGTCCAAAAAAAATTGTACTATTTTATTACCAAAAGTGTTATGCTGCACTAAACTTTTTTTTATATCCAAACTCTATATTACTGCATTTGTTATTTTAAAAAGCCAATATAAAGTACAACTAGAGGTAAAAAAGCCCTTGTATCCTTTTAACCAATCGTTTTCTGCATATTAGATCTTTTGTGGACCGTTTAAACTGGGACCATGGCAAGGACATGTCTTTTGAGATGTCCCACTTTATCATTTCAGAAAGTTGGGTGATAATGATTGAAGTGTAATGACTGTAAGTAATCTGCAATGACCTATCAAATAAACCTGCTACTTTTGCCCTGAATCTGCCAAATTACAGGTTCACTTCAAGTTCTGAGCTGATGTGTTTTTTCAATAGAAAAAAAAAACAGCTTTCACACATTCTGAAAATTTTCATAATAATGGTGTACCTGTAATATATCTATAAGGCTGAGAGGGTTTGATCTTCCTGCTAAGCAACAACACTTCAGTTGCCAAGAAACAGTATTTTGATGTGTAGTAGGGCGATGCTGGGCAAGTCCCCATAGACCAGCCATTTTCTCTCTTGAAGAGCTCTCCATTTTTTTATCAGCAACTACTTCTGTCAGGGCAGGGTCTGCTTCTAAATGGTTTACCGCCTGGGGCAGAACACACTGCGAAAGCGCAGGAAAAATCCTGCACAAACAACTGCTAAACACAAGGCAGAGATTTCCCCATAGCTCACGTGGGATGGAGAGAGAAAGCTTTCATCCTCTTAATTGAAAGCCTCTGTCAGACGGGAAATATGTTAGAATGAAGGAGAAGAGGGAACGATGGGAAAGATGTACAGTCTCACAGCTGGCAGCAGCCAGCATATACTATGCCTTCCCTTTTTACTGCTCAGCATGTCTTGGCTACTCTGATATTTTTAGAAGTACAATGAAGGAAAAGTCTCAGAAACTCCAAAGTCTTAGTTGCTCTTCAACTTGCATTTGCTTTATGTTCTAACTTTATGGTGTGTATACTGATCAGTCTATATGGTGTATTATTATATCACCTGTTGACATTTATAATCTAAGCAGTCTATATATTGGATTTGCTAGCCTAAGGGTCGATGGGAAAATATTGTATTTGCTTTCAGGTTTATTCTGCTGCATTTGTCATCAGTTAGCAGATGCTTCTGAGATAAATCTATAGTTGATTTATCTGTATATTAGACCTAGGCATGCAGACTGCTTCTACAAACATTTGTGAAAGAATGGGGGGGGGGGTCCGCTCTCCAGGAGATCAGTGAATTCAAGCGTGGTGCCGTGATAGATTGCCACCCCTGTGCAATAAGTCCATGCTGTGAAATTTCCTTGCTATTAAATATTCCACGGTCAATTGTTAGTGATATTATTATAACAAAGTGGAAGCAGCTGGGAACAACAGCAACTCAACCACAAAGTGGTACTTACACCATGAAAAATGACAGAGCGGGGTCAGCACATGTTGAAGTGCATAGTGCGCAGAAGTGGCCATCCTGTCTACAGAGAGTCAATAGCTAAAGAGCCTCCAAAACTTTTCTGTGGCCTTCTGATTAGCACAACAGTGCATAGAGAGAGCTTCATGAGAATGGGTTTTTTCAATGGCTGCATCCAAGCTTACATCACCAAGTGCAATGCAAAGCGTCGGATATGCAGTGGTGTAAAGCACAATGCCACTGAACTCTAAAACAGTGAGACGTGTTCTCTCTGAGTGTCCAATCATGCTTCTCTGTCTGTTCAATCCAATGGACGTGTTCTGGGTTTGGCGGTTGCCAGGGGAGACGTGTACTTGCCTGATTGCATTGTGCCAAGTAGTAAAATTTGGTGGAGGGGGGATTAATGGTGTTGGGTTGTTGTTTTAGGAGTTGGGCTGGCCCCTTAGTTCCAATGAAGGTGGAACTCTTAAGGCATCACAGCATTTCAAGACATTTTGACAATTTCATGCTCCCAGCTTTGTGAGAATAGTTTTGGGGATGGCTGTTTCCAACATGACTGCACAGCCAGTGCAACAAAGCAAGGTCCATAAAGACATGGATGAGCGAGTTTTGGGGTGCAGGAACTTGACTAGTCTGCACAGAGTCCTGACCTCAACACTAGAGATGATGAAGTATTCAAAAATTCCGATTTCGACTGATTCGCGTGTGGACTGCGAATTTGTGGAAAAATTTTTCGATTCGAGTCGAATATATTTGCTGTGAATTTTAACTTAAAAAAGAGGGGTGTGTTTCTAGGCTTCAGAGAGACTTAATTATTAGTGCAGAACACTGTACCTTTAATTTAAATGCCCTTGGAGTCTGCTGGGAAAAGAGAAATAATACTGTCTTCAGTAGTGTGTGACATGGCAGATAGTGCCGTCGATCTTAGAATCACCGCACACTTCACTCATTTGGGCAGTCACGGGGGCCAAAACCAGAGTGTGGAGCCACAGTTGTGGCGGTGGAGGCAGCAGCAATGGGAGGCGCATAACAGCACCCTATGACAAAAATGGAAACCACCAGCAGTGTGAGGAGACCTGAAAGTGGCACATGGCAGAGTGTGGCGATAGAGACAGCAGCAATGGAGGGCCGTAACAGGGACCCCATGACACACTCTGGACCTGGCAGCAGCATGAGGAGGCGGTGAGGGACGGCGGTACAGGGGGGCCCATGACAGACATTACGGGCCTGGCAGCAGCATGAGGATTCGGTACGGGGGCCCATGGCAGATTACGGGGGGCCTGGCAGCAGCAATGGGAGGCCGTACATCGGACCCATGACACACTCTGGACCTGGCAGCAGCATGGGGAGTGCGGTACAGGGGGCCCATGACAGATTACGGGCCAGGCAGCAGCATGAGGAGTCGGTACGGGGCCCATGAACACACTCTGGACCTGGCAGCATCATGAGAGAGGCGGTACAGGGCGCATGACAGATTACGAGCCTGGCAGCAGCCAAACTTGGACAGGAGAAACGTTCAGATTTCTTCTGCACCGTCCGGGTGCGTGCTCGCAAACTGTTGTCTCTTAGGAAACGGATTCCAAGAAAGACTGCTGACGGAATCCGTGAAGAGGAGTAGCAGGAGAAGGAGCATCTGAACGAGCGGAATATGCCAACAAGCGACACACAACAGGGCCCATGACAGATTACGGGCCTGGCCACAGCACATGAGGAGTCGGTAAAACGGGGGCCCATGGGCAGATTTAGGGGCCTGGCAGCAGCTATGGGGAGGCCCGTAATCTGCCAGCACCCCTATGGACAAAACAATGGAACACCCACCAGCAAATTGTGAGGAGACCTGAAAGTGGCACATGGCTAGAGTGATGGCGATGGAGACAGCAGCAATGGGAGGCCGTACAGTTACCCCATGAGAGTCTCTGGACGCTGGCAGCAGCAGGAGGAGGCGGTAAATAGGGGCCCATGGCAGATTAGGTGGCCTGTCAGCAGCTAATGGGAGGCCCGTAATCAGCCAGCACCCTAATGAACAAAAAAACTGGAACACACCAGCAGTGTGAGGAGACCTGAAAGTGGCCACATGGCCAGAGTGTGGCGATGGAGACAGGCAGCAATGGAGAGGCCGTACAGGGACCCATGAGAGACTCTGGACCGGCAGCAGCATGAGGAGGCGGTAATATAGGGGCCTATGGCAGAATTAGGGGCACCTGGCAGATCAGCTATAGAGGCCCGTAATCTGCCAGCACCCTATGTACAAAAAAATCAACACACCAGCAGTGTGAGGAGAACTGAAAGTGGCACATGGCATGGAGAGTGAGGCGTACTATGGAGACAGCAGCAATGGGAGGCCGTACAGGGACCCATGGCAAGATAACAGGACTCTGGAGCTTGGCAGCAGCATGAGATGGCAGTTAGGTATAAAGGGCCCATGGCAGATTATGGGCCTGGAACAGCAGCTATGGGAGGCCCCGTAAATCTGCCACACCCATATGACAAAAAATGCCCCATCAAACACACAGCAGCAGTGTGTGAGGAGACCTGAAAGTGGCACATGTTTGAGGCATGATTCATGGCGGATTTATCAGCTTTGTGTGTCAGGAACTGGTGTTTGAAATCCAGACTAATCCACGCCTGATTTCATTTTCACAAACATGAGTCTCTCCACACTTTGGGTGGACAGCACGTGTCCTCCGCGGAGTTACAATACCTCCTGCCGCACTAAAACACGCGCTCCGATGCCAACGCTACTGGCCGGCATGACAGCCTTTCAAGGGCAAATTCAGCTAGTTGGGGCCAAAGGTCAAGTTTCGTTGCCCAGTAGTCAAGGGGATTGTCTAACCTCGGTTGGCAGGGTGCTGTCCAAGTAGGCCCAAGCCTTGTTTGTTTGAGGTCCCTGCTCCAGGTCCACCTGATGCCCTGCTGCTGCTGCTCCTGCTGCTGCGAGGTAGTATATTTCCTCACTGCGCTGGTGGAAGACAGCTACTCATCATCGACTTGCAGACTGAGGCAGCCCTGCTGGTGAGCTGCCACACTCTGCTCCTACAACCCCCACCCCTCCCCTGCTGCCATGGCACGGAACGCGAGCGCACAGGGCCCACAGTGTCTGAGGATGGACGTTGGCGCACAAAGGCAGAGACCAACTGACTACATAGTGGTTTTTATATAGTACGCCGTTATTTTGCCTCCCTCTCAGCAGGTGTGAAAAAAGCCACCATTTTTGAACGGTAGCGAGGGTCCAACAAGGTGGACAGCCAAAAGTCATCCCTCTGTCTGATGGTTATTATTTAATTATTCTGGCTGTCCGCTACGCAAGCACACCGAGCATGCTATGGGCCATTTGTGCCTAAAGAAATGCGAGGGACTCCCTGCCTCCATCTCCACAGCATACTAGCCCACGGTGCTCTGGTCCGCTGTCCCTCCTCCTCCTCCTCCTCCTCTACCAATGCTCGCTCTCCTCCACTCCTGTCCGCTGATTTGAAAAAACCACCCATTTCATCCTCATAATTCCTAGCACAATGTCCTCCGTCTACCTCCTCCTCTTCTTCCTGTCCTCCCCCACAGGGGTCATGTGGCGTTGAGATCGTGCGCCACGTCTACCGCACCCTGACCAGCCCATTGTTAACAGCATTTGTTCCAGGACGTGCAACAGAGGAATGACGTCGTTCATCCCATAGTCCTGCCGACTCACGCGAATAGCGTGGCCTCCTCAAAGGGCCTGAGCAAGCGGCAGGTGTCACGCATGAGCTGCCAATGGCTGACATAAAAGTTACACAGGGGAGTACCTTTATCCGCTTGTAACATCAGGAAATCGGTGATGGCCTTTCGCTGTTCGTAAAGGCGGTCTAACATGTGTAGGGTTGAATTCCACCTTGTTGCAAGAAACGTCGCAGATCAGGCGATGCTGTGTAATTCCGTTTCTGCCGCTGCAGCTCAAGGAGGGTGTGCTTTGCGGTGTAGGAATGGCTGAAATGCATGCAAATTTTACGTGACATTTTAAAGGATGTCTTGCCAGTGGGATGGTTGGATTTTAGGAACCGCTTGACAACCAGATTGAACACGTGACCATGGCATGGCGCATGGCACAACCTTCCTTGACGCAGAGCAGACACCATGTTCTTTCCGTTGTCGGTCAACATGGTTCCGATTTTCAGTTTGCGCGGAGACAGCCATCTGTCGATTTCTCTGTTCATTACACTCAGAAGTTCCTCCCCTGTGTGACTACGTTCGCCAAGCATACCAGGTGCAGCACAGCGTGACACCGTTGCGCCCTGCACATGTGATATGCCGTCGGGTAATTGGGACTTGCACGGGGGTGGCGGCTGAGGACACGGGCGGAAGAAGAGGTGGTAGAGGCGGACATCTTTGCCGGACCAAGGACTGCAAACGTGGAGGCAAAACGGCGTGACCTGTCCCAAGTTGCTGGTGCGGCTGTGACGCACAACGTTTCACACCAGAGGGCCGTAATGACATGTACTGTCCCTGACCGTAGTTACGGGCTCCACAACTTCGGCGCTGCCGTTGCATCTTTGGCAACAGACCGACATGCTCAATAGACTGGCCCACCATCTCTTCTACATGTGAAATGCAAGGTCTGGCACTTGCGCTTTTTTGGCGAAGAAATGACGGCTGTTCTGGCACATCTCCACCGCGGGCGCGAGCACAAGCCCATCATTTCTCGGAAAGGTGCTTGAGTCCCACCACTTGTAGAAAGGGGAGGGACTAGGCAGCACCAGCAAACTTGGAACAGGAGGACGTTCAGCTTTTGCACCGTCGGGTGCGTGCTCCGCAACTGTTGTCTCTTGGAAAACGGATTCCCATGAAAGACCTGCTGACCGGAATCCGTGAAGAGAGTAGGCAGGAGAAGGGAGCAATCTGAACGAGCGGAAGATGCCAACGAGGCGACAACTCCCCTCAGCCAGAGGTGTTGGAGCCTTGACTGGCTGATGGAGGCCGATTGACGACAGGTGAAACGGAGCAAGTAACGGAGCGGCGTGATGGAGCGGGCTGGGGCGGGCAGAACCAGCCCGTATCTACCATTATCACGGTTTTCCCAGGCCACCAAATGGCGTCGCATGCATATGCTGCCGCAACGCTGTAGTCCCCAACATGGGCCCCCTGGCCCACAGCTCTGACTTTCTGGGCCACATAGTCCGACAATACGGCAGTGAAACGTTTACTTCCTCGGGCCTCGGCTTGACAAAAAAATTGCCACACCGCCGATAGCGAAACTTGCCCTCCGATACTCCCTCACTGGCTGACTGCTGCTGTTCCTACCGTGCACACCCCGGCACCACTACTGGCCTGGTGGTCGGGCTGCAGAGGAGCTGGTGCGCCTACTCGCGTGGCCGTGTTGGCTCCACTGACACCTGCTGCGACCCTGCTGCTTGTCTCCATGGCAACCCACCGACTGTTTTGCGTCGCTGGCCAAGCCCACCCTCTTCTCCTGATGATGCGGCAGAGAAATTGCCTGATGACGACGAGGCTGCCAAGTGCGATCAACCTCCTCATCATCAAAGTAGGGTCTCCGCTCCTCACTACTAGCCCCCTCGGCTGCGTGTGGGTCAGGAGACAGACCTGTCTCTAGACCGGCTACCGAGCCACTTCTCCTCGCCACTAACTTCCTTCGCCTGGCCTTGCTGAACAGGGCGGGAATGTCTCCCCCTGTTTCCTGACCGCCCTTCTGTTAGCTCATCCTCACTGTACAGTGGGGCTGAGCCCCACAGCAGAGCGGATCTTTCCGCTGGTGCGGGGAAAAAAAAACCACCAAAGGACAGGGGCAAGGTAGAGGACACGTGATTTCATGTGGGCTTGGTCCCGGGGCCATGCCAACTAAAACGTTGTGTCTGGACGTAGACCCACCGAACGCCGTTGGCTGTAGCTGTCAGAGGTGACCTGGGAAGAGGAAGAACGACCGAGCCAACCAATCTGACGACGGCAGGGTTGTCGGTGGAGACACGATAACCCGCCTAATGTATGACACCGGGAGAGCACTGGCCTCTTGGCTGCGAATAAGTGGCTGCCTCGACCCCTTCCTCTGCTGCCCACGTCCTGCTCGCGTCCTAATACACATTGCCTCCTCTGCAACTCCTCTGCATGGTGTCCATGAACATACTCTTTAATTCAACCGAATTTCCTGTGTCCCTGAGTAACAAGTTCTGGTGTCCCTGAAGTAACAATTCTGTGTCTGGTCCCCTGAGTAAACAATTCTGTGTCCCTAAGTAACGGTTTCTGTGGCCCTCAGTAACAAATTCGTGTCCCTCAGTAACCATCTCTGTGTCGGTCCCTGAGTAACAATTATGTGGCCCTAAGTAACGGTCTTTCTGTGGCCCTCAGTAACAAATTCTGGTGTCCCCTGAGTAGCACAATTCTGTGTCCTGTCCGAGTAACAATTCTTGTGGCCCTAAGTAAACAGTTTTCTGTGGCCCTCAGTAACATTTCTGTGTCCCTGAGTAACCTTGTCTGTGGCCCCTAAGTAACAGTCTCTGTGGGCCCTCCAGTACCATTTCTGTGCCCTGAGTAAACAATTCTGTGGCCCTAAGTAACGGTTGTCCTGTGGCCCTCAGTAAACAATTCTGGAGTCCCTAAGTAACAAATCTGTGGCCCTAAGTAAACGGCTTCTCTGGCCCTCAGTAACAATTCTGTGTCCCCTCAGTAACAATTCTGTGCCCTATAGTACGGTTCGTTGGCCCTAAGTAACAATTCTGTTTCCCTAAGTTAACAATTCTTGTGGCCCTAAGTACGGATCTGCCCGCTCCATAACAATTCTGTGCCCCTCGAAGTAACAATTCTGTGTCCCTCAATAACAATTTCTGTGTCTGTCACCTGATTAACGTTAACGTGGCCCCTAAGTAACGTTCGGTGGCCCTCAGTAACAATTTCTGTGTCCCTGATTAACGTTTTCTGTGGCCCTAAGTAATCGGTCTGTTCCCCTCATAACAATTCTGTGTCACCACAGTAGCAATTCTGTGTCTGTTCCCTGAAGGAACAATATTACAGTGGGCCCTAAGTAAAACGGTTCTGTGGGCCCTCAGTAAACATTCTGTGTCCCTGAATAACCTTTTATGGTGCCCTAATAACGGTTCTGTGGCCTCAGTAACAATTCTGTGTCCCGATTACGGTTTCTGTGGCCCTCATTAACAATTCTGTGTCCCTCAGTAACAATTCGTGTCTGTCCCTGAGTAACAATTCTGTGGCCCTAAGTAACGGTTTTCTGTGGCCCTCAGTAACAATTCTGTGTCCCCAGATATAACATTCTGTGCCCTAAGTAACGGTTCTGTGGCCCTCATAACAATTCTGTGTCCCTGATTTAACGTTTCTGTGGCCCTAAGTAGACAGTTCGTAGGCCCTCAGTAACAATCTCTGTG